TCCCCTTTCTTTTTTGTTGGGGGGGGGGCCACCACCCGCCGGCAGCCCCTTTAAAGAGTCAAAGGCGCTGGAAAGATCAGATTTGTTCATAACTTTAGTAAAATGTTATGTATCTTGCCAAAACCCTGGAGTCAGTCGCGTACAAGATTTTGAAAACTGGGATGAAGGGTACCGCCGGGATTTTGGATTTCAAAGCTCCTTTAAAGACGTAGAAAGTTTCACTAACCCCGGAAACCAGCTGTTTCTGCCCACTGCCCCCTATTCTTTCCATCCCCCACTTCATCCACCCAAACCCATCTGTACCCTCAAATTTCGGGTGCCCCGATTGAAGAGGAGGGGTTGCCCGGCTTGAAGCCGATATGGGGCACAAGCTAAGGGGGGAAGAGGGTGATTGGTGCTAGCGAAGACGGAGGGCCCCCAGGGGAAACCACAGCACCCCAGCAGCCCTGCGGTCCACCCAAATAGCCCTTGTAGACAGCGCGGGCTAGTGTGCTTCTTGTTGTGGGGCGAGATGGGCTTGTCTTTCTCATTGATCTTCACCAAGGCGGGAGAAAAGTTGAAAAAACGAGCGGGAGGCGGTAAAGAGGAGCTGGGTGGAAAAGGAACGGATTTATGGGTGCCCTTGGCGGGTCAAGGACGACATCCAGAATTTGGAATTGGAAGTATTTTATAAAAATGCTTTGAAAGCCAAGCAAATTTCAAGGAAGCGGGGGAGCAAAAGCCAAGTTCTACTCACCAAAAGCTCCGGTGTCGTAGATGTCGAGCAGTAATACATCTTCTTGCAGCTCGCTGATGTAGTCGTGAATGTCCCGCAGCTCCTTTTTCAGGTTGTCCTGCATTTTGCTTCGGCTGACTTTCTAAACAAATGGCATAAGTGGGTTTATCATTTTTTTCACTATTTATTTACACAAATAGGAATGGTTAAATTACAATTTTAACAAATTTAATTCTTACAAGAAGGTTTTAAGGAAATAGGTACTTCAAAATTTGGAGATACTTAAGTACAGAAATTTCGCATCAACCGACCTGCATTTGCTTGATGCCCTGCTTCATCTTCATCTGCTTTTTGATTTCCTTGCGGATCTCATTCTTGATGCCGACCACCTCCTTTTGCAGGGATCGCTTGTCCGAGATGTGGTACTGGTATTTGCGCGCAAGCTCCGCCAACTCCATCGGCACCTGGCCCGCGTCGGAACTCGAGCTGAAAAATTGGACTGGTTAAGGTTCAGAAGCTGCGAAATAGCCCCAAATCACCCTAAGACCACGATTTTTCAAAAAAAAAATCGAGGAGGGGAGGGGAAAGCTCGAGTGGCTGCTCAGGAGAAAGAACAACCGCCCCAAAACCAGCCAAAAGGTCACAAAAAACGGCATGGCGGTGCGGATTTTCGATACAAATCCGGGGGCAATCGAGCCTCGGGAATGTACGCAAAATTAGGATTCGGTTAATTAGGCCACTGCGAAAACATGGCGTATTTTCAAAGGATATCCTACGAGAAGCCGTAAAAACCGAACTCAAGGGAGAAAGTGGCGTGAAAAACAAGCTAAAGCTTTCAAAACCGGGTCAAAACAGCACCACCTATATAACCCGCCATTATTAACCGGGGGAACAACAGGGAAGTAGTAAACTAGCCGACCTCCCCCGCGAATAAGTGTCGAGACCCGGATCCCGGCGCCGCGAACAACTGGATCCAGCTAATAGCCGGCCGGGTATTTGCTACGCACGCGCGCCTATGCAGCCAGCGCCCAAGGTGCGATCAAGCCCCAAAAAACTGGATGCGCCAAACGCCGTGCCGCGCGCCATTATCGATATCCACAATCGGCGTCATCCGAGGGGCCCCGACTCGGGGCGAGAATATCACCCGGGTTTTGAGCCCGAGCTGGGTCAATCGGGCGAAAGTATTTGTGGGGATGCGCGATTCGAGGTGGCTGCGGGAGGATGGTGAGAATGTGCCCCTGATCCACAAACAATCGAACTCCCTTCGCGTGATGATTTCGGCGCCTGCATTGGATATGCGACAATTTATCACCCATGCACCGGGATAGCCCCCCGAGGGCGTCGCCCCCACCTCCACCGAAAATAGGCGCCGAATCGGGGCACCAAAGATTGGGTCAAAATTCACGGTGATCCACTCAAAATTGACTAGATTCAGCGTCGTGAGAATAAAAATGCAGGGCCGGAATAGCGATTTCGCGCCCGCCTACCAAATTGTTTTTTTTATGAAAATTACCCCCAGACGTCATAAGAATAAACAAACGGTACCGAGTTGAGCGCCTTTGAACGGGATGGTTAGAAAAAATTAAAAATTCACCTTTTCATGATCCTGACGTAACCGATAGTTTTCAAATTCAGGGGTTTCTCGTGAAATAGAAATGCCAGGGGAATCTACCCCCGAGTAGCGCTCAGCGGTGAATTCCTAACCCCCGCGAAACTCTAAAAAACACACCTCGACGGCTCGCCGCCTCCATTGCACGTATCCGGGCCGTCGTCCCCGGCGCCCATCTGAAAATTGAAAATTAAAATTTCATCGCTGACACCGGTGTGTGACGCAGAAAAAAGAAAATCGCGTATAAGAGGAGAGCGGTGGCGAAAACGTGCAAAAAGCTGACGAGCCCAGAATGGGTTGGGGCGAAAATTGAGATTTTATAGCGCGGCGCTCGATAAGAAGGATTGGCCGAAGGTACGATAAGGGAGGTGACCGAAAAACTATTGAGGATAGGACGGCGATAGAAGTCGACAGGGTTTGAAGTTTAAAAATAAAGGTGGCGATTTTCGATATAGGATAATGGATATCGATTGATTTTTCGAAGAGCCCGGGTTGCATTTGAGTCATAATTGTTTTCCAGGAATAGAGATCTATCGCTTGAACAAATAGAAAAAGGAGGAGCAGGCATAAATGACGATTGCCAAGCAGTAGTTCCGATCAAAGAACCACTCGTTTTGTTCCTGAGAAATCGAATAAACTTTTAGAAAATTCGTTACAAGACGCATATTTTTGTTAGCAATTTTGAGCAGCGTTTTGACGTCATGAGGTTAGACAAAATATTCTCTACATATTGCTGAAAACTGCAAAGTGTAGCAATTCGCCCGGAAAACGGCTTCACCATGGGACAATTCAACGGGGATGGGCTCATTTGAAATGCATTACGCGGGGAAATATAGGGTAAACGTGAACGTCGCGCAAGCCAAAAACAAAAGTGCGGTTTGCGGAAGCCGCCCGCCGCGATCAATCAAAACAAAAAGATTAGTGAGTCGGCGAAAAGCGAGGGCAAAAGAGCATGAAGTTGGTTCGCATGCGAGCCGCGCGCAGCAGATCGGATGCAACGGCAAACTACAAGATACAAACAAAACCATGAAGAATAATTTTCAGTGACTGATGACTGATTGTTACAAACTCTGCCCCACCGCCGAAAGTGACAGCTAATCCGAATAATCCGCTTGCTAAAGTGTTGCGCGTGCGCGACGCCCCAGGGGACCCCGAAAAAGGGGGAAGTGGAAGCGGAAAGCGCGGCGCGCGAGGAGTGTGCCGCTGGGGACGGACGAGGTCCGCAAAAATAAACACCCTCCCTCATCGGCCACAACCGCCACCACCACCATCAGGCGGACACTGGGAAAAGCTGAGGAATTTCGGAAATTGGCGGTAGAAGTGAGAAACGATGGATCAGCTTACGTGTAATTTAGAGCTTGAGTGAGTGCTTGACGTAAAAAAACTGAAAGGGAGCTTGGGTTTCAAAAACTAAATAGAAAAATGAAGCTAAAATTCTAAAGAAAATGAATGAAAGAAAATATAAACTTGAAAACTTCAAAGTAAGTGCGCAGAAAAGAGAAAATGCTACGAACCCATACTATTCAACCCGTTCAAAGGAGCATCGCGTAGCCCAATTTGACCACGTGAGGCTCCTTTAGACGGATTGACCGTCGCCTCTCGGACTTTTTTCAGATAAAATTCAGGGCTACCAATCAAAATTACACGTAAAAAACAAAAATTTACACGTGGTAAAAATTACGTCAAATTTACAGTCACTTTTGGGTTTACGCGTGTAATTGAGTTTTATAAGGGTTTTCAAGGAAAATGGCCGAAAATTACACGCGTGTAAAATTTACACGCGTGAAATCGGTTCGAAGGCGGAATCAAATTAAACAAATTATTTTACGTGTTCAAAAATTTTACCGCGTGTAAATTTTAGGTAAGAATTACATTTGGAAAAGGTGTGTAAATCGCTCAAAAGGGCCTTCACAAAACGGCATATAAAAAATTTCCAGGGCATAGCGATCAACTTTTTTGACTCACTGTTGGTACCGTCTGAGCTTGTCTCATTTTAACTTTTCAAAATATTTTTCCGTTTGCTGGAGGCTTCCAAAGTTGGCGTGTAAATTTCTGGCGCTCGCGTGTAATTTTTCGGTTTTCCTCCGTCTCCGAGCACGTCACTTTTTTTTACCACGCGTGTAAATAAAATTTACACGTGTAATTGTCAATTTACACGCGTTTATTTTCATTTGTTAACAAATTTGTTAAGGAAAATTTCGGAATTTACACGCGTGTAAAAATACACGCGTATTTTTACACGCGTGTGTAAAAATTACAGTGGGTAAAATTTCAGGCGTGTAATTTTGATCTGGGTACCAGCCCAGGCTTTTAACAGAATTCGTGCCGGTTTAATTAAAACTTATAATTACTTGCCACAAAAAATTGCTGCCCGAACATCTCGGGTTTGTTTATAGCAAGACAACTTCGACCGGTATGAATCAGCTAGGGCCCGTAAACTATAGTTCGTAGCCTAAAACTCAGGAAACGTGCATTTCGAGGCCATCCCCAGCTCAACTTCCAAATTGCCGATCAGCGCGGGTCAAAAAAAGAACACTGGAACATTGCGGGGGAATCGATGTGTGGCCGGGGTGGATTTCTCGCAACCGAGCGCGCGCACGGGCCGGCCAGGCCGACCTGCCCGTCCCGAAATCCGAAACCCTCACTTTTCAGGACACACCGAAGGGGCCCCGCCAACTAGCCATCGGCCAATTGAGTCTCGAGATCCGGGTGGGGGAGGTGTGTTGAGCGGGACGCGGGAGTGAATGAGGAACGGTGTGAAACGATGTGTGCTTTTTCGGGCGGGAGCGGGATTAGGGATTTGGTGAATTTGAGGCGGTGAGTGGGGTGAGGGTTTAGAGAACTAAAGTCTGGTAAATCCGAGGCGTTTGCAGCTTAAAATTTGCAGCGTTGAATAAAGAAAAGAAAAAATGGTACGTTTTTCGAGCGTTGTGCGAATTTGACTGACCAGGAGGTGTAAAAAGATAGAATTAAATTTGCGAAGACCGTAACCGATCAACATTTTTTTAAAAGGCTTCTTGCTGAAAAAATTTTTCACTTTAAAACTCGCTAGTTCTCGTCCGGAAATTACAAAAGCACCGAAAAAATCGAAAGAATCGCTGATTTAGAAGATCTAAAAAAGCGTAAAATCAAAGTGCCTAGTAGTTATAAAATTTATCAAACAGGTGAGAATAACTTAAAAAATCTTTACAAAAATTGAAAAATATGTCAACCGACCGCTTTTTAGTCTCTAAATTTAATTTTTCAGCTGCCTATGCTTCCAGAAATTCTAAAAAAGGGTCAAAAATGTGGAGCAACTTAATTATAACGTTAAAAGACCTCCACAAGCACTTTTAGCCTTTTCAACTAGAAAAACAATAAGAAAGAAATCGAATCCGAATAGAAAGTTGACCGGAAGGAGCCTACAAACACATTCACCGGCTACACGCATAGACAACACGACACAAACAAGCCGCGGTGAACACCTGAGCGCAAAAATATTACAACACACACGCCAACGGGGGGACGCGTCCCAATATGCTGCGGGCCAAACGACGGCCTGGGGCGCTTTGTCCTTGGGGGACCCGGGGCCTATCTGTGCGGTTTTGCGAGGCGAAGCGCCTTGGGGCGGCGTGAGATTCGGCGCCAAAACGTCCGCCCATCCCCAAAAGCGGCGAGAATGGAGCTGCCGAGGCGAGGGTGGATGGAATTCGATTTGCAATTTGTTAGAAGAAACCTAGGGGATAGGAGGAAGGCGCTAAAAGGCCTAAAGCGACTAGGGTGAGCTTGGGATCACCGGACGCGACGAAAAGGTCAGCTAACTCAAGAACTCAGAGGAAAGGAGTGTTGAAAAAAAGCTTTACACACAATCTATGTTCAAAAGCCACTAGACGGCAAGCTTTAGAGTTTAGACTATTAAAAACGCTAAAACGTCACGTCAGTCATGTCAATTTTGTAGAAGGAACAAAAAAGAAAACAAATTTTCAAAGTTATATTCATCAAGTTATTTCCAATTTTCATATGGCGCAAAAGTAACGTGCCTCCGATCTTCCCTTATTCCCCTTTGAACCTATTTACAAGCCCTGTACATTGATAAGATACCAAGATTTCTACACGCCCCTCCTAACTACGGTTACTACCAAAATATACAAAGACGTTTTAGTACATACCGTTGCCCAATTCACCACAAAAGCTAAGTTTAATAAAAAGGAAACGTGTAGAAGTAGATTTTAGTTAATTCTCGGATTTTTCGACTCCAAAAATCAAATCGAAATAAAACTGAAGAAATGACAGTGCCTTGAGCCGAATTGAGCTGAAATTGTCCGTGGGGTCCGTGGGGAAAAGCCCCACCCCAGGAGAATGGAGGGGCATTTTCAAACAGCTGGCAGGCTGGGGGCATTTGAAACGAGCCCTCCGGGGGGCAGTCAGGGTCAGACCGAGCGCTTTTCCGAACGAGTCGATAGCCGATCCGCGGTGGTCTAGGCTCCAATGGAACAGCCAGGGCTTATCGAGCTTGAAAACATATTTTCTGTAGCCTTTGGGATTGGCTTGGAAACGGATACAAGGGCTGTCTATTGTATTATGCATATTTTTATAATTTAACGACAAATAATTGAGAATTTAGTTTTTCTAAACAAGCTTTACACCACTGCAAAAAACACATCCACTAGAGTAGATAAAGCATGGAAAGAAAACAAAACGTTGCAGCTTTTCCGGTCCTAAAAGGGGAACGCTTACGCAATGTATCTACTTGCGTTTCAAAAATGTCGAAAATTCTTGAATATTTTACAAAAATTCCTAGGCGCCATCGCGATTTTTTAAAAGAATTTTTCAGGACGAATGAAACGCCGAAGCATACTGTGATTTCAATAAATATTAAATCCAAATCCGAAATCTGCAAAACACACTTCCGGAAGCGCTGGTTTTGAGGAAATTTCTCATTTTTAAAGACCACCGGTAGAACGCTCACTAATGCGTATAAAGGACGGAAGAAAGGAGGAAAAAGGCGCCTACAAACTATAAAACTTGAGCGCTAGAGATATAAACCAAGCCGACAAAGCTACAAAAGATACAAAATCCGCACTAAAAATTGCAGTAATAAACTCGGTGATCAAGAAACACGTTAACTATGTTGGCACTGATCCAACTGATCCTATCCACCGTCAATAGGCGCTCAGCGGAGCTAAACCCCCGACAA